GAAATTTTTTTTTTTTCCCTTTTTGTTGAAATTTGCTGACATAGAATATGATTTATATAATGCAGGAAGCAAGTAAGAAGGCACAAGAAAAAACTGTTGAACGAATAAGATGTCTTGAAGAGGATCTGGCTAAGGCCAGGTAAAGTTTTCATACTATATATGTAGCTCCTTTTGTTCTAGATGAATTTTTGTTGCTTGTCACAAACTCTCGATTAATATATATCCTTAGTGTATGTTTGTGTTTTTAACCCTGGAGAACCATAAATCATGGTCTGTGCTGTGGTAATATTACTCTGCAGGGCTTTTTTCTATGTCCTGCTTGTTCAGGTCATATCTGTTCATATCTAGTTTTTTATGTTTTCTAGCCCAATTTATTTTTGACATGTGTAATTCAAGTATTTCAATTGGGAAGTAATTTCTTAATAGAATGAGTGGAGATTTTCTATGTTTTTCCTCATCCCATTTATCTGTGTTGATCCTCTTGTTATTATACTTGCTTTGTTGAAATTTTTACATGCATTGGGACTGATAAAGAATGCCTGCTTTTTTTTTTTTTATTTCTTTATTTTTTTTAAGCAATGCTGTATTACATGAATGTTTTATCTTTTATGTAGTTTGAAAGTAGCAGTCAATCTGTCTTTTTGTTTATTAAGGAGAAATTTAGTTATTAGCTCTTTCTCTTGTTATCTGTGATTTACAGGAGTGATATTATACTACTGAGATCTGAGCGTGACAAGCTGGCTCTAGAAACCAATTTTGCAAGAGAGAAACTTGATAGTGTCATGAAAGAAGCTGAACATCAGGTGAAGTTAATCTTTGGGTCTCAGCTATTGCCTCTTTCTGTGAACAGAATCTCTCTTCTTCTCCTTTTTTTTTTTTTTTTCTCCTTTTTGTGCATTTATATCCTTTGATTTATGTGGGCATCTTTTTGTTTGTATATTAATTTTCTTTCTTCTATATTGCAAATTGAATCTAACAGAAGGGTGAAATGAATGGCGTTCTAGCTAGAAATGTAGAGTTCTCTCAGTTGATTGTTGACTACCAGAAAAAGCTACGTGAAAGTTCAGAATCTTTGAATGCTGCTGAGGAGCTTTCTCGGAAGTTGACAATGGAGGTGAGCCTTTTCAGCCTTTTCTTTTTTGTGGAGTGTTTATACTGATTCTCTACAGTGCTCATTGTGCATCATTATCTGGATAGGTGTCTCTATTGAGGTTTGAAAAAGAGGTGCTATCAAATGCTGAGAAGCGAGCCTGTGATGAAGTTCGTAGTTTATCAGAGAGAGTTCATCGCCTGCAGGTTGGTTTCACAAATGATTTAATTATTGTGATTTAGAATTTGTAAAATTCTAATGTTATTCTATGCAGGCTAGTTTGGACACTATTCAAAGTACAGAAGAAGTTCGTGAGGTAGCTCATCTCTTCTTCTTTTTGTTTATTTTTTTATTTTTTTATTTTTTTATTTTTTTATTTTTTTTTGCTCTTCCCACGTCTTCTGCTGGCTCCTTGTTCGGGCTACCTTGAGAGTTTGTTTGTGTCCCACTTATCTTATTTGTACCTTGACATTGAAGGAAGCAAGAGCTGCAGGGAATAAAAAACAGGAGGATTATGTGAAGCAAGTTGAGGTATATTTTCTATATATGTATATGAATCAGAATATTCTTACATGAGTTGCATTTGTTATTCTTTTTGTGTAGATGATGTACCAAAAATTTCAAATTTCACGTTAATTGAGCATCGCTGGTTGTTTTGTTAAAAACAAAAATTTTGACCACATCTCTCTTGTTGTGTCATTTATTAATCTTCTTGTTGTGGGATCATATTATGTTCACTCCAACTGAATTTTGCAGAGAGAATGGGCTGAAGCTAAGAAGCAACTTCAGGAAGAGAGGGATGTGGTTCGAACTCTCACATCCAACAGAGAACAGACATTGAAAGATGCCATGAAGCAAGTTGAAGAAATGGGAAAAGAATTAACTAATACTTTGCATGCTTGTACAGCTGCTGAGGCCAGAGCTGCTGTTGCTGAGGTCTCTGTTCAGTTTAGGCTTTATGCCATATAGTTGGACCAATTCTTTGACTTTTTCTTTATTTGTTTTTATGTGTTACATGCATTCCCTGTGCCATTATGAAATTAATTAAAAAGTTTTGTTTTTGTAATCTTTTTAATATATATATTTTTTTTCTGTTTATCAGGCCAGACTTTCTGATCTGGAGAAACAGATTAAATCTTCTGATATGAAGGTAAATTTTTTATAAAATTATATTTTCTGAAGTGAAGCAGTACTTTATCCTGAAGAGTTGGGTGTGGAGTGTAGGCAAATGAATTATGCATGCTATACAAATGGTCTTTAATTCTTGCCAAAAGGCTTCTTTTTAATGGAACTGGAGCATGATGATAAGATTCCCAATCATATGTTTTATACAAGAATTTAATTGTCATTCTTGGTCTAAAATTCATGGAGAACTTGATTGCTCTTTTGCATTGTTTTATGCCATCATCTTTGTATTTTATTTACCTATTTATTTATTTATTTAGTTTAGTTTAGTTTAGTTTTCTTACTTCACTGATTGTTGTTTCTGCAATATAGGTTATGGAGACTGATGATGGTAGCCAGCCAACCTCTTCAACTAGTGAGGTTAGTGCGTTTCAGTTTGGGAGCTGGTTCTTTGTTGAGTTTAGCTCCCAGCCTTGTACTTATTCTTCATGCAATACAAGCCCAGGAAAGAAACAAAATGCAGTTTCATTTCCAGAGAATTATTTTATCTATTAGTCTAAAATTTTAATCACTGCACTGATTACTGAATAATGGCTTCTTTATTTGTCCTATTTATGTACCATATTAGTGATTTGGTAATGATAATTGTATTGTTACTGTTATATGCTTTGCCATAATGTTTGTTATAAGACTCAGAAATTATCTTTGTTTCATTTACGTCTCTCTCTTTTGGTATGTTTGCTGATGGGTTGGATGTCCATTAGACTGCTGAATCTCTGGCATGATCTGTTTCAATAACATCTCTTCTTGTTCTTTTTTATTTTTTGATCTTCCACTCATTGTGTTAATATGATTCAGCCCTGATATATCTAGAAGGCAGTCTTGGTTAATCATAGTGTCTTGTTCAGGCACATACTAGTGTGGTGTATGTTTGAGACTGAGGAGCAATTAATTTGGTCTAATTATTAGGATGCACAGCTTGGAAAATGTCACATATTGTAATTTTATTGCATAGGTATAGAACATAGATCTTAAGATATGCAGTTTGTTTTGATACTATATCAAAATTGCTCATACATTGTGGTTGTGGTTAGTACTGTATTCTTTCCATATTAAATCTTTTTATATTTACTAGGTTATGGTTTGATTGAATTCTTGCATCATGTTGAATTTCGTTCTAATATTCATTTGTTTATTGTATTTCCAGGTTGTTGTTCAATTGAGGATGGCCAAGGAAGAGATTCAGAGATTGAAGGAAGAGGCAGAAACTAACAAGCATCACATGCTACAGGTTGTTGTTTTATATGATGAGATTTTTGCTTGTCATTTTAATACATGGTGGAAATAATGAACTTGAATAACCTTTTGCTTTACCAGTATAAGAGCATAGCCCAGGTGAATGAGGATGCATTGAGGCAGATGGAACTTGCGCATGAAAACTTCAAGATTGAGGTAATTTTGTTTTATATTAGCTAAGAGGACTGAACCTAAAGCATTGAACTATCTGACCTCTGTATATTTTGTTATTTCCTAATCTTGTAGGCAGAAAAGTTAAAGAAATCTCTAGAAGCTGAGCTTGTTTCACTCAGAGAGAGAGTATCTGAACTTGAGAATGAATCTTGCTTGAAGTCTCAGGAAGTAGCATCTGCAGCTGCAGGAAAGGAAGAGGCTCTTTCATCTGCTGTCGCAGAAATGTCAAGTTTGAAGGAAGAAAATTTGGCCAAATCGTAAGATTTATCTACCACATATCTGGATAAAATCTTGACTTAATTAGCTGGTTTCTTAATTTCTTCCTTTTGCCTTTAGTTCTCAAATTGAGGTGATGGAAATCCAAATATCTGCTTTGAAAGAGGACCTGGAGAAGGAGCATGAAAAGTGGCGTGTGGCTCAAGCCAATTATGAAAGACAGGTTAACTTGAGCATTATATTAAAATAACGAGATTGTTGACATAAGACTATAGAAAATGGAAAGTGTGGTTACTTTGCAGATTCCTGCTTTTACCATTATCTGCGGTCCAGTAATTATTATAATTACATTATGGTTCAAACAAGAATGTTCCATGTGACAGGTTATTCTGCAGTCAGAGACTATTCAAGAATTGACAAAGACATCACAGACGTTGTCTTCTCTCCAGCAAGAGGCATCTGAGTTGCGTAAATTGGCTGATGCACAGAAAAGGGAAAATGTACTGCCTTTCACCCCCTCTTGTTTTGTTTTGACTTGTCATTTCATTTTCTTTTGGCTTGTGTTCTGTTTCTTCTTTTCCTTCATCTTTCTCTTTTTTCTTCCATTTGTGGTCTTATATTCACTCTGTCACATCCATGTGGATGTGCATAAAAATTGATGTGCGTGTCTTAGTGGTAGTGTCATCTATAACTTGATAGACTCAAAACAAGTAAATTAACCAATATAAGAGTTAGATGAGTAAGAATGATTGTGAAATAAAATATCTTTAACAACAGTTTCTTTACTAAGTGTTTCTGATACTATACAATGTAAAATAGTTGGGGGCAGTAGCTATTAGGTAAGTTCCTAAAGTTCATTATGTTCCTTTAATTATAAGGACAAATGGTAAGCTCCAAGTTTCAGTGCTAAGGTATCTGGGGTAATTGAGTTTGGTAATGATCTGATATTTTCTTTTTTGAGATAGGCTTCATGACTCTTGGATGGCCAAGTTAGTAGTATTTACTAATTGTTGAACCCAACACTAAGAGAAAAATTATTTTTTAACATTGTACTACTTATTAACTGGAAGCCAGGCTTCCTGGTTGCTAGTTCTGCACTAATTTTCTTTTTATTTACTTGGTTATTAGCATCATGGCCTTTAATATATTGTTGACTAACATCATCTTGTCTTTTACTTGTGTTTCTGGAGGTCAAACATTTTTCTTCGTCCTTTGCTAAAGCTTTATGGCCATTTTGTTATTTACTTGTTGAACTTGTAGTTTGTTCTTTTAACTTCTTTTGAATGTTTTGTGAACATGATGATATAATGCTTTATAGGCTGAACTTAAGGCTAAGTGGGAGTCAGAGAAATCAATCCTTGAGGAAACAAGGAAAGAAGCAGAGAAGAAATATGATGAACTAAATGAGCAGGTCAGATTTGATCTGCATCTGTGTGTGTGTGTTCCTGCTATTTATTTCATTCTTCCTACTTGATGAACCTATATGTTTAAGCCTAATGCAATTATATACATCTTTCTGTTTATTAATTCTGTTTGAATTTGAGTACTCTCTGTGTTGTGTTGTTGGATCTTTTCATAACTTATAAATTTAAGGTGCTGCTCTTCTGTTATTGTTACTATTTCTGTTGTTATTACCATTTCCATAATTGTGATTATTATTCTATTGGGATGATCTTTGAAGAGTACCATAAAAGTTTTAATATTTTGTTCCTTTCTGTCTTTCATTGTTTACTGCTATTGTCTCTGAGCCTGCTATATTATTTGCATTGAGAGATGAGACCTGATCTTTTCAAATTTTTAATTTCCTTTGCTTCTATTTGCAAAAATTATTCTGCATATGATTTAAATAAAAGAACAGTTACACCCAAGCAAACAAGCTGGGATTATCTATATGATATTTTACACCATTTGAAATGGTTTGCATCTTACAGAACAAAATATTGCACAGTCGACTTGAAGCTCTACACATTCAGTTGGCTGAGAAAGATCGAGGTTCTGCTGGAATCTCTTCTGGAAGCACTGTTTCTGATCCAGTTGCTGATTCTGGTTTGCAGAATGTCATTAGTTACCTCCGACGGTCAAAAGAAATAGTAAGTACATTTCATCCTATTTTTGCCATCCTGGCTTCTGTCTTGCCTTTTCTAGATGCATAGATTTTCTGATATCTGGTCATATTCAACAGGCAGAAACAGAAATCTCTTTGTTAAGGCAGGAGAAGCTCAGATTGCACGCTCAAGTAGGTTACTCCTGTCTAAATTATTAATGAGTAGCCAATTTTGATCTTCCATAGTCATGCATCGTCATTTTTCATGCTCGGCATCTATTTCCTTTTATTTTTTTTCTTTTCTTTGGTTTTTGCCTTGTTGTAAATTTAGTTTATTTGATTAATTAAGTCACAATAATAGCTTTGGGCTTTTAATTATATATGGACACATGTTGATTTTGGTGCCTCAAGTGGCTATTTCACAATTTCTGTATGTATGCTTTTGGATTTGTGTTTCCACTTTTGTGGGATTTCTTCTCTGGCTTATAGTAAGCTTGGATGCATGTGTAAATACCCTCAGTATTATGGAAAATGGTTGCCTTTTTTCCCCAAAAAATCTTGATGCACATTCTGTTTAGTATTTTTAGTCAAGCTACAAGAACTACTAATCCTGTTCAAATGTCTAGTTTGTCTACTTGATATGTTTGATCGTGGGACTTGCTGACCTGCACAAGTGCCCAATGGCATGAGCTTTTGATGACCTGTTTTCAATTACTCAAACTGGTTCCTAGGAGATATAGGGCGTTAATGATCATGAAGACTTAAACTGCCATGGCTGCAATGTAGAAGTTTCACTAGTAACAATATGCTACCCTGCTAAATTTCATACGATATGAACTGTACCTTACTAAGTTTATTTTTTCTTGCAGGAATTTTATATGCCTGTATTTGTTGAATTTTAGTTTCTAGCAAACATATGACTGTGTTTGTTGGATTTTAGCTTCTACCGCAAATATGACAATTTTTTGCATCATTGATTGGCATATGTGGATGTCTATTCCTTATCAAGTCTTCAGCTCTGCAGGATAGTTTCAGATTTCATGGAATAGAGTGTCATGTAAAAAGTAAATATTAATTTTGTTGGATATACCTTGAGAATCTTATCATTGCATGTTATTCTTGTACATATTCAAAATGATATAGAATTATGTTTATGCTTTAAATAGATGTAGGAAATCCTGAGAATAAATTAACTTTTACATAGGTACGGTTGAAGGTGAATCTGCAGGCTTGTTAATGAATGAAGGAATGAGTCATTGACTAGGTTGTATTGTGCCTGGTTATTTTGATTAATTTTTACTTTAACAATTAAATGGAGATTAAGCCATACCTATAACTGTTACCTAGTCCTCATATTGTGATAAAATGATTCAATGTATTGATTTTATTTTTCTTTCACAATTATGATGAAGCTTGAGAGTGCTCTTAAGGCAGCAGAGACTGCCCAGGCCTCACTTCATGCTGAGCGTGCTAATTCAAGAGCACTATTGATGACAGAGGAAGAGATCAAGTCTCTACAGCTTCAGGTTGTATTCCATTCTACATGTGATGCCATTTACCGCTTTAGATATTCCCACTCTATCTTCAATATTCATCCTGAGACTAAATTTTGAATTACCTTGCCTCATTTCAGTATTGCATGGCAGAAAATCTTTGGTTCTCACCCAATAAAATCTAATTTTTTCTGAAATTCCTTCACAGGTTAGAGAAATGAATTTGCTCCGTGAAAGCAATGTGCAGCTTAGAGAGGAGAACAAGCACAATTTCGAGGAGTGTCTGGTATGTTTTGGGAGAAACTCTATGAATGTTTATTCAAAATTTGAATAATGAATTGTGTTTGCATTCTGCTTAATTAATGAGCTTATTTTTGGTTGTCACAGAAATTGCGTGAAGTAGCTCAAAAGGCTAGGATTGAGTCAGAAACCCTGGAGAGTCAACTGAGGGAGAGACAAGTTGAGCTTGAATCATCCAAAAAAGAAATTGAAATGCACCGGACAGAAAAAGATTTTCTGGAAAAGAGAGTGTCTGAGGTAATTGTCCTGAATGTGTATTTTGGAACTATCACCTTCACAGGCTTTCTTGCATCATTCTAACTTTTTTCTTCAATGAAGTTACTTGAGAGATGTAGAAACATAGATGTGGAAGATTATGATCGCCTTAAGAATACTGTTCAGCAAATGGAGGTAGGCAAACTATTTATTTTCCTTCATAGCATTTGAAATATAATTAGTAAATGGAGTTCTAGTTTTATGATCTTTATATTGTAATCACTTTATTTGAGATAATAAATGATGGAAAAGAAAAAAAAAAAATTATATTCAACAGCTAGTCAGTGACTTAATCGCTTCATGCTTTTGTGTCAAAACTGTGATAAATGGTTATTACTAATGTTTGGTATGCAAATGCATTGAAATTCATTCTATTTCCAATTGAATTCACTCAAGAATTCATTTGTAAATGAATTTGTTTATTTTAAAGGTTTAGCCTTTATTATTTTTAGAGATCACTCATTTTCTTGAATTGTTTTTACTTGGTGCTGGACTTCTGCTTTTTGCATATTCTTCTTCTTCAAAAAGCAAGTCATCAGGGAAAAAATCTGTATGTTGAGGGTGCATATTGGAATTTTACACTAAAAAAGAAAGAAAATAAGTTTAGATTTGTTATGCTAGCTATTTCAGCATTGTATTGATGGGACATATTATTTTGGCAGATTTTTGGTTTTTTTGAGCAACTGAACAACAGTATTTGTTACTTATTGATGTGTTGCTGTCTTGTTCTGTCACTTATGTGATATACATTTTCATTATCCCCAGGAAAAATTGAAGGAGAAAGATGTTAAAATAGAAGAGATGACGAACCTTCTTTCCAAGAAGCAAGAAACAATTTCACAATTTGAACAAGATCTTGCCAAAAGCAGACTGGAAATCAGTGAGAGGGATAAGAGACTGAATGACAATTTGCAGTCAGAGGTAATCCACGGTCCATTCCTCATAATGGAAACCATCTAGTTGTCTTGGTTTCCAATCAACTAAAGGTATTTTGTGTTGTTTCATATGTAGGCTAACCTGAAGTCAGACACGGAGAAGCAAAAGAAGATACTTCTTCAGCATAAGGTAATAATTATATTTAATTGTCTTAATCAAGTCTGTAACTTAAATAGTGCTGCTAAGACAGAAAATGGCAAGCTCTTCTCTGCATTAGTACTTTAATAAATTTAATTAAACAAATCTGAGTAAGAAAAGGTTAGCCATGGATGCTTAAATGGCAAACAAGACACTTAGAATATGTTACCATTTTTTGCTTGTGAATTTTTTGGGAAATTTTAAAGTTGTGCAAAATTTTGTAAAACAGTAACTCATTAAGGTGTCTTGATACAACTTTAAAAATTAAAAATTGTTTAATTTTTTTGGTAAATTCTAAAGTGATTGATTGGCTCAAAGCACACAAGTGCGTTTTCTTTAATTTAGTTTCTTTTCTATCCTGATCACTGTGTCTTCAATTTGATAGTTGCTTTGTGATTCTATTGTCTTCTGCCTTGTGGCTGTTTTATGATTAGTTGGCTACTATTTAATTGATTAAAGTATGGTTTTGTTTTTCCATGCAGAGGAGACTTGAGACTTTGTTAAAAGAAAAGGACCAAATAAGTAAAGAAAATCAAGCTCTTACCAAGCAGTTGGAGGAGTTGAAACAAGGTAGTCTCTTTTTTGGGAAACTAATAAAGAAGCATGTTCCAGCAATTATGTATTATATACTTTTATCTGATGGGTACAAAAACAATTCGTTTCACATCTAATAATATGAACCAATCAACTCACAGTACAAAACCATCGCCTTAATTTTGTTGGATGGAAAACTCTTCGCCACCCCCCCCTTCCCCGCGAAGCCCAAATTCCCTCTAACCTAACAACTATAAAGTACAAACTATTGAAATCAGCAATTCAGCATAAAGCTTGACTAAACCTGCACACGGTAGGACTCTTGAAACTGCTGTACCACCACATCAGGCTTTCATTGGCATCATGTATTCAATTATGATCATTAAATCTCCATTGTAGGTAAAAGGTCCATCAGTAATACTACTGGTGATCAGGCTGTGAAGGAGAAAGACACTAGAATACAGGTTGGTAATACTTTTTCTCTATTGCCTCTCTTTTTTTTATTTTTATTTTTATTTGATTCAAAATTTGTTTTTTCTACATATTTATGCAGATTCTGGAAAAAATTCTAGAGAAGCACAGAGAAGATTTGAAGAAAGAAAAGGATGAACATCAGACTGAGAAAGCAAATCGCTTGAAGAGTGAACAAGCTATTTCTGAAAGTGTTCTGAAAGTTGAAAAGGTTGTCTCCTTGTTCTTCAAACAACAATCTAATATTGCACCCACCTGGCTTTTGCTCCAGTGGTAATGGGGGCATTGGGTAGAGATCCTAGGTTCTAGCTATAGCACTCTCCTCTGGTTGTAATCGTGTATATGTTGGAGCATAATCAAAGTCTATCTCTCTAATCCTAGGTTCAAGCTATAGCACTCTCCTTATTGAGATTAATGGGGAAATTTATAGAAGTTCTCTTTCTGTTTATCTTAATCTGTTATATCCAGTGATTGATGTCTCTTATAAAACCAGGGAAGGACAATGGTATTGAGTGAGCTTGAGAAGCATCAGCAGGCATTGAAGCATCTCTCAGAAGAACTGGAAAAGCTCAAACATGCTGAGGGCAATCTTTCTGAGGTAAAACTGTTGGGTTTTTTTTTTTTTTACAAAGAAATGTAGAGAAAATCGAGAGGAAGATGTAGGAGCAGAACATAAACTAAAATGGAGAGAAGTGTAACACTTCAACTCAAATTTTCTCATTAACAATCTCACCTATATATAGGGAAATACAAACTTTAAAACAATTCAAAATTCAAAAAGTTTTGTATTATCTCCAAGCAACAATAAAAGTACATTTGAAATTTGAAATAAGTAACAGCCACTTTTGCCGCATGCTTGTGTCCTTTGGCAGCTCTGCAGCCCTTCATTCAGATGCATTTGCATTTGCATTTACATTTCATTTGCTGTTCATTGCAGCTTCATTTCATCAACATTTGCAGTTTAGCTTGCTGCACATTTTTGCTGTCATTTGACGGCTTCATTTCCATCATATTTGCAGCTAAATTGCTGCCATATTTGCTGTCAAATTGCAGCTTCATTTCAATTTTCAGCCTCATTGCTGCCATTTCATGGCAGTTTCATTTCATCATTTTTGCAGATTTGAATGCAACATTTCTAACAATAATTCCAACAAAAAATGCTATCTAATCATAATCATGTGTTTTTCTTGTTTTCTGCTGGAAATTTTGACCTGTTTTCCCTCTTTATCTTCCTTTATTTTCTCCTTCTGGAAAGTTGAAATTAAAGCATGCTAAGTTTTCATATGTCTAAAGAGTTTCAGCCAGTTCCATGATCTTCTGCGTAACTAATGGATAATAAAGTCCTGCTCATTGGTGTCTCCAACACTCAATCTAAAAGTGAATGAAATATCCTCTTTTTTCCCTTTTTCTCCTTTTGGTTTTCTCTCGACTTTTGTGGGAAGATGTGTCTTATAAATATAAATTTCAGTGCTGCACTAAGTTTGGTTTCTTTCCAAGTAGAAAAATGATGTACAGAAAGAAAGAATCTTAGAGAATGTAAGCAGTTGTAAATCATTAGTAGCATTTGACTTCATATTGGAATCCAATGTGTTAGAAGGAAAGCATTTCACATCTTCCTGCCTACCAATATGACTACTTTGCGATTTACTAATTGAATCTTGTCTTCGATGCTGTTAGATTTCACATTTCTAACTAGGTTTATTCTTCTTAGGGTACCTCTTTGATTCAACTTCTTTCTGGAAACATCTTAGATGACCAGGCTGCTGCATATTTATCAGCAACAGAAGATTTTGAAAAAGTTGCTCATTCCATTTTGAGTGAGCTTGAGACTGGTGCTGTTATATCTGGTGATGGTTCTTCAATTGTTGACACATCCGGAGCTGTCCTTACAGGTTGATATTTTAGTTTGCATTTTGGAGCTAGATTTTATGACTTACAATAAAGTTTTCCTTCCGAGCTTGAGTTGTAACAATGCTATCTTTTGATTGTCAGGTTCTATAGTGCCTGATCAAGCCCCTGTTGTTGCATCCTTGGCAGCTCCTGCAGCAAGTCCTCAACTGGCAAAAGCAACAGAAGAGAGAGAAAGGAGATTACCACCAAAAACAAATGTTGAAACACGTAAAACAGCAAGGAAGCTGGTCCGCCCTCATCTTGTTAAATCCAAAGAACAGGGTGATGTGGAGATGTCGGAATCCTCTCATGATGTAGAAACTCAAGGAACCCTCACTCAACCCTCCCAACAACCAATTCGGAAACGCCCTGCTTCATTTACTTCTGAGTTGAACCAGGATTCAACCATTCAAGTGGAGGCCAGTTCTGACATGACAGTACCAGCGCAGAAGAAATCAAAGGGGGAGGATTCCCCTGCAGAGGCTTCTGAAACCCAAGCTGCTGCTCCTTTAGAAAATCTTGGTTGTCCGCCAGTAACTGAGGAATCCTATGACGCTGGTGGTGATTTAGTTGAAGGCTTCAACGAGGAATCCATTGAGGGTGAGAAGGAAGAAGTTGAGGCTACAGAGGAGAGGGTGGAAGACACGAAAGAACCACAAGTAGAAGGCACAATTGAAGGTGACTTGCAGGAGAAGAATAATGTACTAGAAGATGCCTTGGAGAAGCCAGGTGGAACCGAAATGATTACTGATGATGGATCAAAGAATCAGTCTGAGCAAGACAACCAGCATGCCACTCTGGAAGCTGAGAGTGAGAAGGAAGAGGGAGAGCTGGTCTTAGAAGACACAGCAGATGTAGAAGGTGGAGCTGATGTGACCAATATGATGGGAAGTCCAGAGATTGGAGAAGGTCAGGCTGAGCTCAGTTTGACCCCTGTGGCTTCACCTTCCAGGATTGATGATAAAGCTGTTGATAATGGAGCAGCAGAAGGCAATATTAATTCTCCAGAGGTTCTAAACGATGATAAAACTGAAGAAGGTGAAGTAGCTGAAGATATAACTACTGAAGGCTCCGATAAGTCAAATGATGGTAGTGACCAGACTGCATTGGAAACAGATCAGATGCCTGCAGCTCCCTTGATGACTGGCGGCACTGCTTCAACAAGTAGTGCTGCAGAAGCTGATATCTTAAAACCAGTTAGTTCAAGTGGTATACAAGAAACAGAAGAGGTAAAGCAGGCATCCCCTGTTAGCACGACCTCGACCTCAACCTCAACCTCAACCTCAACCTCAACCTCAACCGTTGTAAATCTACAAGAGAGAGCTAGGCAGAGGGCGATGCTGAGGCAGGCTGGAGTGGTTACTCCTGCACCTAGTAGAGGCCGTGGAAGACAAACACAAGCACGTGGTCGAAGTGGCATCAGCAGTGGACGTGGACCACGTGTATGGTCACGTGGACAAAATTCTGGTCAACAGTGATTGACTTTGTGATGCAGCACAGAAGGGTGATGAAAGGAATTGTCTGAGCTATTTGCAGTTTCACTCGGTAGGACCCATACATTGTTTTTGCCCAAGGAAAATGGCAGTTTCCAGGACGGGATGCAATGGAGTAGAGGAGTTACTACGGTGATCTTGTTGATATTTTCATCTAAGCAAAATTGGCTGGTTTAGACTGGAAAGTAATGTCTTGAAATCATTTCAATTTACTGGGGTAATATTTTGAAAACAAAACTAGCATATTTTTTTACCGTCTCAATATTTTTGACACTCAATGGTTGGTTCAACAAAGTATATGTTACTATAGAGGCATTAAATCATGAATAGTGTTCCCATTTCCCATTTGGTATGCTCCTTCTCACTCGGCGCTGGGAGTCTGGGAGTTCAGCTTCTACAACCATTTGATTCTCCATCCCCTTCTCCCAAATTTTCGTTTGCTTATTTTATTTTTTTTCCTTTGAACAGGTATAGTTTTAGGGTAGGGGGATGAGAAATTTTAGGATAACAGTGTCATGACTTGAATTTTAGTCATTACTAAAGTATTGGGTACACTTAATAACTAATTTATGAAGCTTGTTGCTCAAAATTCTCTAATGTTAAAAAAGGAAGTTATTTTATCGAAATTTTTTCTAGATTAAAATTTGAGAAAAGCAAAAATAAGACATTCAAACATTATTTTTAAGTGTAGTATTGGTGGGATATAGTGTGGTCTTACCTGTACATTTTCTCCATTCTCAAGCTAGATGTCTTCATTTTTTTTTTTTTTTTAATTTTTCCAGTTTTATTGTAGGAAATTGGCTTTTGTAAATTGGGTATTTTTCAAGTCAGTCCATGCTTTTGAATTATTTTTGCTTCTGAGAATTTTGATGTAGTTTCTGGACTCTCTCTTTGCAAAGAGAGATTATTTTTCTTCCTTTTTTCATTTTTTTGACACTGAAAAATTGGGGGAAGGGAGTAGTTGCCTAGGTTAGAATTCAAGATTTAGATGTTCAGGTATTGTCTCTTACGAGGGATGGTCAGTAGGTCACTTGGATATTTTTTTCCTTATTTTTGTTCGTATTAATTTTGGATTGAAGTATAATCTATCAGAAGAACAAACTAAAGGCAATTTATCGCGGAGAATTCTGGTACGGTGTTGATGCTCCAACGTCCAAAGGCTGCTCAATTACGTCAACGTATACGCTTGTCCTGTATCTATGTCGTCATAATTTCATATTTCATGTTTGTGTTTTTTACTTAATTCCATGTATGATCAAATTAAGTGATTTGAATTTATTCCTTATTTATGCATACAATAGTCATTGACAGCATATCATTTCTTTGAGAATAGTTTTTTTTTTTGGAGCCACTTCAGATTTCTGGGGTTTTTAATGTTTTTTATTTTTTTTATTTTTTTATTCCAGAATTCGTATTCTTTTGTTTAAGAGTAGTTGAATGAAAAATGACTTCTTTTGTTCACCTAAGCTTGTGGCAGGTTAATTTAAAGTCTTAGCTTAGCTTAATTCTACCGAGAAAGGCATATCCACCAAAAAAAAAAAAAAAAAAAATCCTACCTAGAAAGGAAGAAAAAAAGGTCTGGTCTTTTCAGCTCTTATTAGTAGTATTGTGTTAATTATTCGGGGATTATTATTGCAGCGAATCAGATTGCATTTGCTCTTTTAGACACAGCATCATTGTAGATTTTGCTTTTTGCTTTTCACAATCTATAGTAGTGCATTAGGTTACTGAGCAAGGATTTTACATGGTCAACGATTTGGGGCGTAAATATTTTATATGGTTCTTAACAATTATTTATGTAGACATAATTATAGCAAGCTAAAATCTGAATTCAAAAGTTGAAAACTTAATATACAACTCAAAATTAAGAAAAATATGAGAGATAATTATTTTTTAAAAAAAGAAATGGACACATTTTTTTTTTCTTGTACATAAAAAAATGGACACATGATTCAACTTACTTCCTTTTTCTTTCTTTTTTTTCTAAATAGGCAACGCAAATTCAACTTACATTTTCAGAAACAATATAAAAAGAGAACAATATAAAAAAACAAAATTGTTTGAAAGTCAGTATTAAATTTATTTATATATTTAATAAATCAAATGAAACGTGTTTTCCCTTCTTTTTTCAATTGATGTAGCATAAATCAGCCACCACCGAGAATGAGGCTGCACGTGGGACATTCATGACTTGTTGTGCTGTTAAATACAAAGAGAGAGCGGAGAAAGCGCCTAGATTTATGTTATTAGTATTTGTTTTTTTTTTTTTACCTAATTTGATCAATCATAAGAATTTATAGATTGAGTAGTCAAACTAGTATTATATATTAAAAAAAAAAAACGTTTATGAATTGGACTTACAAAAGACTAAGTAAATTATGTCTTAAAAAAAGATATTTTAACATTAAAAATAAGATATTTTAACATTAAAAATAAGATATTTTAACATTAAAAATATTAAAATATTTAATAATAATAATATGATAAATGTAATAAAATTAAGATTTATACTATACTCAACATATTTAATAGTTGTGATTGAATGTTTTAACTCTTTAATATTGGAATATCTTAAAATTTTAAAAAAATATATCACAAAATACATAAAAATATCATTTTTATTTTAAAAATAAATTGCTTTAATTTTTTAATAAAAATTTATTGAAATAATATAATTTTAAATATTTTTTTTCTAATTTTTTAAAAATTAAGCTTAATAAATACTTTTTCCATTATATATATATATATATATTTTTAAACAGTGTAAAATCTTTTTTAGGGGGAAAGGGGAATGGGCACTTGAAATTTGATCTCAAATTCTTTTAATCCTACGTACGTCCTACAAGTGGTGGCCATTGGCCACCGAGTGCGGAACTACTTTTTCCATTATATATTATACTATAAGTTGGATTTATTGATAATTTGTGATTCCCAAAAATAGGACAAATTCAAGACTTAATCATAGTGGTCTACAAACCTCCATTATTGGATTTGGAGTACTTTACTCTCCATCGGAATTCAATTCCCTTCCCTTGTTTGCTTACAATGGTAGGCATGCACATAATAAAGACCTTATAATAATGTTCTAATCATTGAACCCGTTTTGCCTCTCTTTATTAGCCTTTGGTTAAATGCTAAATTTGGTCCCTCAACTTTAGTGAGTTGCACATTTTTGGTCCCTCAACAATTTTTTACACTTTTTTGATCCCTCAACTATACAAAATGCACTCCGTTAATCATTCTATTAATTTGGATCGTTAACTCTGCTTATGTGGTATTTTTTATATTTTTTTTGATGATGTGGAAGGCAAAATTTAAAAAAATGATGATGTGCACAAAACCTTTTGCCATGTAATGCTACCGTGGCCAAAACGCATCAATTCCGTCCAAGTGGGTCCCACATCACTACTAAGAATTACTTCTGTCCATTGATTACTGTTTCTGTTCTTTCAATCGATGAAGAATTGCTTCTGTCCATTGATTACTGTTTCTGTTCTTTCCATCGACGATGTTCTTTCCATTTTCAAGATTGAGATTATTTAAACAATACTTCAAAAATATAAAGAAAAAAATCCCAAAAATCACTCACAATAACCTGCAATTTGGATAATCTCTTGATAAACAAACATATAACAAAAAAAAAAAAAAGTAGAGCTGCGTTCGTCGGAACCGAACCTGGGTTCGGTAGAACAAGTTCTATCGAACCCAGCTCAATTCACTGTAATTCAGTTGTCCCAAAATCCCTCGCAACAACCTGCAATTTGGATAATCTCTTGGCAAACAATCATATAA